GCGCAGAAACGTGCGTGCGCACGGTTTTATAAATCTGAATTTTTTTTTTTTTTGGCGTACGCCATTTCCGCCTTTTGGTCGTACGTTCACTTTTAGTATGGTTTCCATGGGTTTCCATACAATCCTTTATAAATGAGACCCCTGGACTGGAGGAAGCCGGGAAGCAGGTCATTGTAGGAGCAAAGACAGAGAAAAGGGCCAGGACCAGTTCTGTGTGTGAAACCAGGACACTGAGGACATCAGCATGAGACACACGTCAGCCCCTGCACCCTCACTGACACTCTGTTCCAACTTCACACTAAAGAAATTCCTGTGACAACGCAGCTGACTGAACGCTGAAATTTACTGAAGCTGAAACAGTTCTGACAGCTAAAAAAAAGTGGAATACAAGCTAAAAGATAAAAGTGGCAAAACACTTAATTAAATCAGATAAAAGCCAGCTAGAAGATAAATGTAACAAAGCCGACTAACTAAAGACTATTTGTAGTAAAATGCTAACTGAAAGCAAAAAAGTGTTAGCTAAGAGCTAAAAGTAGCAAAGGCTAATAAATTTAAGCAAAAAGGGTAGCTAAAATCAAAAGTAAAAACTGACATTTAATAGCAGAGTGTGTGTGTGTGGGGGGGGTTTAACTGAGTGGCAAAACCTAGCTAAATGTTATATGTCACAAAAGGCTAAATAAAACGTAGCAGACTGGTAGTACAAAGCTAAAAGTAGAAGATGAAAAACCTGTAGCTAAAGGACAAAATGGTAGCACAAAGCTAAAGCAGGTGGAAAGTCAAAGTAAAAAATGGCTAAAGGTTAAAAGTAGCAAAATACTAGCTAGCTAAAGGCCGCAATAGGATAACTAGGAGCCAGAAGTACCAAAATAGTGGGTAAAAGCTAAAATCAGCAAAACACTGAATGTAGCAAAAGGCTAGCTAAAAGAAGCAGAATGGTAGCATAAAAGAGGTATGACAAGCTAAATACTAAAAGTAATATCATGGTAAAATAGGATAGTGGTAGCTAGTGTGGCTAAAAAAAAGCTAAAGTGTTTCTAAAAGCTACAAGAACAGCTGAAAGCTAAAAAGTAGCATGAGAGGACAAAAACAGCAAGTAGCTGAAGTAAATAAAAAATCAATGGTTTTGAAGGCATTAATATCATGTTACTTCTATAAAAGAAATATCTGTGAATAAAGTGAAATATTGTTTAAAAGTGTAAGAGTTACAAAAACCAAAAGCTGCAGAACATGAGAAAGCTGAACACTGTGATAGTTAATAAAATTAACTAAATAAACAAAGCCTGCAGAGCTACAAATAAGACCGTACAGGACAATAAAAGACAGGAAATATTTATTGTCTTTTCATGAACCAAGCAGCTTGTTTCTGTTTGAATCTGTCAGAGAGAAGATGAGCAAAGACTAAATAATTCATCAGTTCTTCAGGCGGTTTGTTTCCAGAACATTCTCCCACTGAGGCAGCTGAAAAGACAGGATGTGGACAAAAACCTCTTTTATGAAAGAAAACCCCTCACAACAACAACAACAACAAGGGCTGATTATTCAACCAGCTGAAGYTTTTCACATCAGACATTAGATGTAAACACATTAAAAAGATGACCAAGGCCTGSTGGATTGAAAAGACAGAGGCTCGGATCGGTCAGGAGATAACTCACCGTGAAACCACCGATCAGCTGCYGTCAGATGAGCCCAGTTAGATCCGGGGAAATGTCAGCGAACACGCGCTGAATCCGTCCGGAACTCCGTGTGGATGCGGCGGCATCAGAGACAGGAGGATGGGGCGGAGGTGCAGGAAGGAGGACAGAGGGAGGAGGAGGAGGTCCAAACAGCAGCAGACTTCAGAGGACCACAGGGACCTCTTTGTTATCAGCGCAGACACGGGGGGAGGGGGGGGGGGTCATTTATCAGACCAGAGGTTTAAGACCAGGCTGACGTGACGTCACAGGGGAATAATGGTCTTTTTTTTTAGGTGAATATTTTTTGTAACTATGTTTAACAGCTTGAGAATGATGACACCGATGACGGTATGATCTACATCCTCATCAACTGGCGGCCTGCGGGCCACTTCCGGTTCACATGGGGAAAAACGAGGGCCAGTAGAGCAGTATCAATAGCTATGTTGCAGCTTGAAGACATCAGTCGACGAATGGAGTAGTTTTTATCCAAACATTTATTTTCTTTTAGCTCCACAC